AATTTAAATAAGAACAATTACCTCATCAAAAAAAGGTTTTCCTGGATTACTTGAATTATTTAGTGATTTTAATACTACAATCTGAGTTCCAAAATAATTAAACTCCTTTTTATTTTCATCATAATCAGCAATTCTTCCTTTTGTCCATGCAGCAGTATAAATAGAACTGAATCCACCCTCTGTTAATTTTTTTATGTTATAAAATTGCTCATAAGGTATCCATTCTATAATTTGAGTTGGAAGAGATGAAAGCTGTTGACATTTTTGAATAAAACCATCAATTATCTCATTCCCAGATGTCCAATTGCTGAAAAGGCTCTGTAAGTGTAGACTAATACACTTTTCACAATATTTATCAGAGTATTTTGTTGTTTTACAATTATTGCATTCTCTTGGTTCACCCCATTTATAAGTTGCATTATCTAATTCAAAATTATAAATAAACCTTTCTCTACAATATTCTTTTTCATTTTCTAATAGTTTTTGGTTTTCATTGACTAATTGTAAAAAATATCTTTTTTTATTTTCAAGGTCAGAAACAGTTGGAAAAGCAGAATAAGCCATACCACACATTTCATTAAAAATTTTAAGTACTAAATCTATTCTGTCCTGTGTTAATAAATCAATGAAGGGCATTTTAACTTTTTAATGTTTATAATGTTTATTTTTTTTTAAAAAAAATAACTTAGTATTAGTATACATTTCTTTTTGTGGTATTTTGACGATCCGCCTATAAATGAGTATCAAGGGCGCAACTTACTGTGCCTCGAAGAATTAATATTCTCAATTACGTGATTTCAGGAAGCTGACTGTCACGTGAGAACAGATGATCATTCCATAAACAGGAAGAATAAGCAATAATAATAGTCACTAGTACTAGTGATCGTCATAACCAAAAAGATGAATTCGTAAAATTTTGTTTGACACGTCCAATTGCAAGTATAAATAGAAATAAATGTCCAAATATTATATTATTACAGATTTTTGATCACTTAGGTATGTCTTTTATAGTAAATCATTTATTTTAAAAGTAAATATGATAAATAAATAGATATTAAAAATTTTCTTTTGCATTTATTCCCGTAAATAATGATTAAATTTATATCTGACTTTATTATTTATTTATCATAGTGATGTTATTAAATATAAGCTAAAATATAAGTTAAAATAAAAGAGAAATTTATACAAACCATTGAACAATTGATAAACCTTTGTTAGAATATTTTGTTCATAGATCTTGTCCTTAAAGTTTGTACAAACTATTGAATAATTGATAAAACGTTAGTTAGAATATTTTGTTCATAGATCTTGTCCTTAAAGCTTGTACACACTATTGAATAATTGATAAAGAAACGAATGTTTATCAATTATTCAATAATTATATGTATCGAAGTGTTAAAGACAATTTATACATTTTATTCATTAATTATTTATACACAATTAATAACTATTATTATTATTGTTAATATTATGATTATTCCTAATTTGATATGTAGTATCAAATATTCATGATTAAAATCACTAGCCGTCATAAGTTTAGTTTTTTTAATAATAATAATAAATCTCATTTTTTGAAATGCTACTAGTGTGTGAAAAGGAAAGATATTATTTCCATTTTTGAATATAGTGTAGTATAATATGTCTAGTTTATCGGTGCCAATGGTGGTGAAAAAATCAAAATAATAAAAATTCATTTTGAAATTGTTGACATAGTAATAGTGCGGGTCACACTAACACGTTAAATAAAAATCTAACAACTTTAAAGCTAGGTAGGGAAATATTGAATGCTTATCTGAAAAGAATAGAGACGATATTTGATAGCTATTGACTAGTTCTACAATCCATCGTTGAGATAATTTTAAAAAAATTATTAGTACCAGAGTTATTAGCTTTTTAAAATTTAGATAAACTTTAAATGTTTCAAAATCGTGTGTTATATAAAATTTCCAAATTTTAAAAGCAAATAACCCTGAAACCAGTAAAATTATCTCAATGATAGATTGTAGAACTAGTTGATAGCTATCAAATATTGTCAATATTTCCATATCTAGCTTTAAAGTTGATCAATTTTTATTTGATGTGTTAGTGTGACCCGCACTATACACGTGGTATATTTCAATATGCAAGAGGTATTAAATGTTCATCTTAATCTACACACACCCATTCAATATCATTTAACCTTTTTGCAAAAGGATCAATTGTGTGTCCAAAATGTTCATTATAAAATGTAATGATATATATATATGAGACCATATAGATTATTTTAAATGACAGTTTGTTCTTTATGATTTAAATGGGTTAATTCCACTTTTTTTTTGTTGGCACCTTCAAACAAAAGTTTGTTTTTGTATGTCATTTTCTTAAAATCCTTGTTATTATGCCCATTGTTCAATATATCTAATGCTAACTTCCCAAGTTGGGAAATGCATACTAGAATCCTATTTTATGTTCTCATTCTCATTCTCATCCTCCTCGATATCATCACTTACTATCTTCTTAAAAACGTGGTGGTTGGTATAAATTCGCTTTCGCTTTCAGAATCACAAGTTAATGTAAATACATTATGGTCAACAAAGTTTTTATTTTTATTTTTATGATATTAAAATCTTACGCGTAGGATATATATACAGTATATCTAATTTCCTTATTCATTTACAATAGACAAAAAAAGCTTGTATAACATTTACTTTTTCATTTGCCTCAAATATTCACCGAGACCTAAAGTTGCGATTTCAAAGGAGAGTCGGTGGTTCAATGAAAATTTATCGCCATTGAATTATGGCATTTTGAAAAAGATTGACTATGTTAGCTTCAACACGTAATAGTAATAGTAAAGCCACCCAACCCAAAATTTCGGTGGGTAAGAGGTGTGACACTTGCGTGATGGGCAAATATCGGGGAAGGGAAAAAGACAGGAGTGGTGGGCATTTTTGACTGTTGTAGATTTTCTAGTTACAAGTAAATAATAATTTATTTATTATTTGACACTTTGTAATTAAAAATTATTGAAAACTATTTGATTGATTTTTTCTTTTTCTTGTTGTGATTTTGTTAATTTCAAAACTTTTACTCCGTGACTTGGCACCTCTGCGGAATACCTTTTTAATGATGAAAGTTTTAATTCAAAATCAATTATTTAAAATCTATTATTCAAAAAAAAAAAATTGTTTTTACCTGTTAGTGAACACCCCGATATCTTTATGATCCCATAAATCTCTAATTAGAAATGTTGAATTTGCTTTTCCGATATGTTTAGAAAAAACAACAGAGATGGTTATTGGTGACGAATTATCAAGATTTAAAAGGACTATGGAGGAGGAGTGAGTGAATCGATTAGTAGCAATTACTAGTAGCAATCATCGATAATTACAACAACAGATACACTACGACTTACTGACTACATAACCATCAATCAATGGACCAGTCCAAATATTATGATTTTTGGATTGTTCGACAATATTTATAGATCTACCGAGTGGATCTTGCTAATAATCGGGAGTTTAAGAGTGAGTGAAAGTGATATTTATTTTTTTAGTAAACATGTATAATAAGATAATTATGCACTCTACATTTATAGCTATAATTTCTTGATTCTTGACAATCTCGAGAGTTGCTTTTGGAGGATTAATCAACTAAAGTAATAATAATGTTAGATATTTATACCGACTAATTAATTTACTTGACAATTCAAAAGAAAGGAATCTACCCATACATTAAATCCCAGTAAAAGTGGAGCTTTCAAAGCAGCCCAAAGGGAGAAATGAGCCTTTTGTTCTTCGATGGTTAGTCGGCCATTGCCGACTTGTAACATGTCAGGGTCGTTCCAACCACCTGGACCGGAATATTTAGTTATGGCTTGATTTCTTTTCAATATTGAAATGATTGAACTCCAATTTGGGTGTATGTCTCCTGTTGTTCTCCAACTATATATATATATGGATAATTGTGTGGATGTTGGATATTGTTGTTGTTAATAATGAATGTAATGACGATCAATGGTAATATAGATAATGGCTTACCTGTTTCCAACTGAAGGTCCCCACAAATATGGTTTGCTTCTTCTGCAATATTCAATTAATTAACCAATCAACAACAATATTAACAATAATATTAACCATAATATTTAAATTGTTATTACCCCCATTCACATATGCTGAAAAATATTGGTCTTCCAGTAGCTGTAAAATTGGACAAATTAAGCTTTAATTTCTGATAAAGAAATTATCACCAACGTTATTAATATTTGATTGCAGATTTTTACCATTAAGCGCATCTCTCATAACCTAACAACATTGATTAACAACAGATCAGTCAATTAAAGATATTAATTAAATCTAAAGAGAAGCAAGTAAATGATCATTTATTTACAGTGTATCTTTGCAATTCAGGAGTGCCGTCGTTATTACAATTATCATATTTCAAATAGTCAACATCCCACGAAGCAAATGTTTTGGCATCCTTATACTCGTACCCTATAAGCTTGAGATTAATATTAGGACTGAGATTGAGATTTAAATTGAGATTTAGCCATGAGATATTAACATAAATGAATTAATTTACCGAGACTCCCAGGACGTTTCGCACAAGTTAAATAACCAGCATCGCTATAAATACCAAACAGCAATCCTTTGGAGTGAACATAATCAGCCAAGGCTAATAATAATAATAATAATAATAATAATAATAATAATAATAATAATAATAGTTAGTAATCGATGTTTCATAGTACAAACTAATCGAGTGATTGGTTTATTGGTTCACCTTTTATGCCACTTGGAAAACTATTAAATAAAAATTTTAATTAAGCACATGCACGTTCTCACATATATTTAAATAATATGCAATTACGACTCACGTGATATTATTAGAAGTAATAAAACCATTCTCGTCCCTTTTTCCTTCCCAGCAATCGTCTAAAATTGGATAATTAAAATGGCTGGAGTTATCAAAGGATCAGAAATTGAATTAACTGTTTATAGTTAGCTGATTACCCATATTCAAGTATTTATAGCCAACTTGATATAGTCCATTGTCGATTAATGAATCGGCAGTTTTCTTGATCAAGTTTTCATTTATTCGAGTATGATACTAGACTCGATTGATGATTGTTAGTATAAATATGGAAAATAATAATATAAATTCAATTTAAATTCAATTCAGTTGGAATTCCAATAATTTTAATTATTAATCCAAATTAGTAAATAAATACATACATAATTCCAACTATTCCATCCCATTGGAGGAGTCAATCCAACTCCGTTATCCAAGCAATCGACAACAAAATTTAATAATAATAATAGTAATATTAGCAAACAAATCATTGTTAATTTATTAATTGTGTATTGATTTGTTTTTTTTAAAAAAAGTTACAGTAACATAAAAAAAAACAAGATATTTATATATTCCGTTAACCAATTATTTTGATCGATATTGTAATTAATACTAATTAGTTAAAAATAAAACTTTTAATTGGTTTCTTTGTTTTTTTTTAAATTTTAAATCGCCGGTTCCGAATATATTAAGAAAAATCGATCCACATTTTTTCGTGTGCCCCGTGTTTAAGTTTAAACTATTTTGAGTAAATATATTTTTGATATATTGTGAATGCACCATGACTGTATTAGGACCCTTTTTTATACCATATAAAAGCCATTTATATTTTTATAATATAATAAAAAAATTTTTATCCCACCTAAAGAATCTTTATAGTAAAAGGTATAGTTTATCTATAAACATATAGATAGATGTTTATTAAATAAACTACGCCATCATATAATCTAATCATACTATTTTAAACCTACTACATACATACAATACTACACTTTTTTTTTATTTTTTTTTTTTTTTTCAATTCTTCAAATTCTCTTTTGAATTCAAAAAACGAAAATATCAACAATTAATAATTATATATATATTATTTCAAAAATAAAAAAATCTTCTCGACAATTGAAAAAAAAAAAAAAAAAACAATTAAATAATCAAAATAAATAAACAATAAAGACAATCAATAAACAAAATAAACAAATTACAAATAAACGCGTCACGAAGAATTGTTTATATTCTCACATTCTCACGCACATATATATATTATACAGCATTATATTCATAATCCTCTCTACTCGAAAAGAAAAAAAAATTTTTTCGTAATCTATAAAAAAACCCCCTTTTTCAGAATTAGCAGAGTTATAATTCTTAAAATAATAATAATAATAAATAATGTTTGCGCCCAGATCTTCAAGACCTGCTACAGTTGCCATCTATCCTTCAAATAATAAGCCTGGGCTCAGAAGAAAAAAAAAAGGAGAAAATTCTACACCTGCTGTTTGTATTTATTATTATTATTATTGCTATTATTATTTTGTTGTTGTTGAATGATTAATTTAATAAACTTCAATCAAGGTTTTAATTCCATAAAAAATTCAAAACTTTTAGATTGAACTTGAACGCATAATAGGATTAACAACATTGAAACCAACAGCTTTAACCACCGCTCCATCTCTAGATCTTGTAGCATATGCAGCTGGTGCTGTTGTCACATTATATAATCATAAGAAAAACAAACAGATTGGTTTCTTATATGCTTCATCAGCAACTCTACCAAATCCTCAAGCCGCAAATCAATCAAATAATTCTGCTCCTTCATCATGGTCTGCCGCCTTTCAAAATCGTCATACAATTGCCGGAGATGTAATGGCTAGTCCATTGGGTACTGGTACTTCTTTGGGTGTAATAGATCCCCAGAGTTCAATATCCGGAAATTCATCAAATTCTAAAAAAATACCTGTAAATAACAAAGCAAAACCAATATCCTGTCTTGCCTTTTCACCCGATGGAGTCTATTTGGCTGTTGGCGAGGTGAATAATTGCTGTTTTTTTTTTTTTTTTTTTGCCTAAATTTCGCTTCTTATTATTAATTGCTATTGGTTCTATTGATTCTGTCGATTGTTAGAGTGGACATCAACCACGTATTTTAATATGGGAGGTTCAAACAAAAACTTTAATTAATGAATTAAAAGGTCATAAATTTGGCGTGCTAGCACTTAGCTTTTCTCCAAATATGAAATTCATTGTATCTTTAGGGTTTCAAGTATGTCTGTGTTTAGTGTAGATATATATATATATATATCAATAATAATATTTATTATTTAACAATTAACTAATCTTCCTTACCAATCTTCTCATCATTCCATCACCCATTCTCCACCACCTTCTATCTCTCAATATAAGCATGATGGATATTTAAATTTATGGAATTGGAAAACTGGAGTAAAAATTGCTTGCAATAAAGTTACTACCAAAGTTCATACTTTGGCATTCAATCGAACTGGTTCTTACATTGTTACAGCTGGTCTGAGACATGTCAAGTTTTGGTATCTCGATCCAAACGGAAATTTACCAAAAAAATCTGCCGTAATTATTACATTGATTTATTTTTTGTTGCATATATTATTATTAAATTAGCATGCATGCATACATACATACATACATATGTATACTTTTAAGCAAAATATTAAATTTTCTTTTTTCCCTTTATATTTATATATTTAGGGACAATCAATACAAAAATCATTAGTACAAGTGTTGGATGGCAGATCTGGGATATTGGGTGATCTGAGAGATAGTAATTTCGTTGATGCTGTTTGCTGTAAAAAATCTGATAACACATATTTTGTCACTTCGAATGGTCTGTTGTGCATGTTTACGGAGGGTAGACTAATGGATAAATGGGTGAATTTGCAGGTAAATTAAATAAATTTTGGGTGGTGCGAAAGTTTGCATGTATGTAAATGTGGTGACTAATTAGTTTATCTTTATTTTTACGGAGTAGGCCAAAGGTGCCTTTTCTATTGTTGCTAGTGAACAATATGTGATTTGTGCTTGTACAGATGGTGTGATTAGGTTGGAAATATTTTTCATATATATATATATATACATATTACACGTATATTTACTTGTACAGTATTTGCATAAATTTATATATTAACACCATCATTTATTATATCATCAATAATATAAGACTATTTGAACCTATGACTTTAAAGTATTTGGGCACATTGCCAAAACCTCACCCATTAGGTGTTGATTTAACTCTTCAGACTGGATCCACCTATAATAGTACAGGTGGCCCAAACGATATTTATCCTGACACTACTGCTATTAAATTAGATGACGAGACTGGTAAATTGTCTTGCATATACAGTGACAGGAGTTTCTTTATATGGGATATTAAAGATATAAAAAAAATTGGAAAATATCGTAGTTTCTTGTCTCATTGTGACACTATTTGGGGTGTTGAGGTAACATTAAATAATGTTGCTAAAGAAATATTATTAATAATAATAACGTTGTTATCGGTATCTTGTCGTTTAATCTTTATTTATTTTTGGATTTAAAGATGATTCCTAATAACGAGGATTCATCAACTAGTGAAAAATCAACTTCCTCAAGATTACCCGAGAATACATTTGTAACTTATTCATCCGATAGTACTATACGTTTCTGGAATTTAGATCAAAATTCAAACTCATCATCATCTAATGCTAATAGTCATAATCGTAATAGTAGTAGCACCAGTAATAGTAATGTCATCAAAAAAAATATTTATAGCAAGGAATGTTTAAAAATAGTTTATGTCGATCCAAATGGTACTTATCAAATGTGTGCTACTTTGGGTGCTAAAAATGATGACTCTGGTAACAATCATGATTATTATTAAATTATAATTCATTTGTAAATAAATATCGATTTTTTAATTAATACTTTTCTGTAAACATTTTTATAAATTAATTATTAATATTTTACTAGAATCATCATCATCAACTGATAATCATCAACCTGTTGTAAGTGATGGCGGTGTTCGTACATTAAGAATTAGTCCTGATGGTAAATTAATGGCTTCCGGTGATCGTAATGGTAATTTAAGGTAACAATGGTTTTTTGACCGTTGAATATTACTATTTTTATTATTTTTAAAGAAAATAAATTTATTAACCTTGAACGTTTTACGTCATTAATAGAGTTCACAATCTTGATGATTTTCAACAAATGACTTATCAAGAAGCTCATGATGCTGAAATATTGGCTATCGAATTCACTGATGGAAAATTACCCGGTATTAATTTCATTAATTGAATTGAAATAGTCTATATATCGTCATCATCTTTATTAACGTGTCATCATTTCTTCTTCATTTAAAATTTAAAAAAGAATCTCCGTATTTGATTGCAACAGCAAGTCGTGATAGAATCTTGCATATTTTCGATATTAATTCTAATTTCCAACTGATACAAACATTGGATGATCATTCCTCGTCAATAACCGCTATCAAATTTACAAACGATGGTGGTAGGTTGATAAGTTGTGGTGCTGATAAAAGTATCATATTCAGAAGTAAACAAAATGTATGTTAAATATATATATATAAAATCTATTCTTGACTTGGTTTTTTTTTTTATTAAAATAATGATGATTTATACTTCTTATATACACAACACCATTAACATCTTACAGACTAGCGATTTCCCTTATTATGCAACTTATCATAATATATCAGGAAGAGCTACAGTATTTGACATGGACATTGACGTATCCAATCGCTACATTGCAACTGTGTCAGGTGAACGTCGTCTGAATGTTTACCACATAGACACTGGCAAGAACGTTCGCTCATACAAATCCGACACACCCGATGAAGTGAATGTTCAAGATCAAGGCAGCTTACTAAGAATATCACTGGATCCTGGCGGTGTATGTGCCGTTACTGGTGGTTCAGACAAAAGTGTAAGATTATTTGATTTTTCAAATGGTACCATATTAGGAAAAGTATTGGGCCATTCGGAATTGATCACCTGCGTGAAATTTACTTCGGATTGTGAACGTGTCATTTCCACATCGGCTGATGGATGTATTTTTGTTTGGAAAATTTCTGATGAGTTGGTTAATAAAATGAAACAAAAATGGTTGGATAGAAGCAATTGTACTGGTACTAACAGCGGTAGATCGTTGTCACCTGTAATGCATAGTTCACCTCCGCTGCCTTCATCATCTTCTTCATCGTCTTCTTCTGCTACTACTTCTGCTCCGTCTATTATACATCCTAGAACCACTGTACCTGCTTTAAGACCAAATACATTGTTTGCAGATAATCCATCATCATCAGCAGCATCAGCTTCAACGAGTTCATTAGTTCCGCAACAATCAAATCATGAAGACTCGAATTCTCAAGAACCTAATTTTATTGTTCGCAAGCCACCTTTAAAAACAACAAAATCTTATAGTTCATTAACATCGTCATCAATAAATGGTAATCCATCATTACCATCACCACCGTCGTCGTCGTCGTCATCATCATCATCATCACAACAAAAAAGACTAAATTCTTGTCCTGATATAAATAATAGCTTGACACAAAATAAATCTGCATCAACTTCAAAACTGAATTTAGAAATTTCTTCTTCCACTGCTACTTCAGGCAAAAGTAACAGTAATCAACAAATATCATTTGCAAACTCATCTCCACCAAATAGTCCGCCTTCGCAAGGTTCGCCATCGACTACAAGAAGAGAATCTTGGAAACTTGGTTTACCAAGTTGGGCCAAAAAAGCTTTTAAAGAAAAAGATGATGAAAGGACTACTTTTAATAATAGTAATAATAATAATAATAATAATAATAATAATAATAATAATAATAATAATAATAATAATAGTAATAATAATAGCGGTAGCAGCAGTAATGTAGATAAAAGATTGCCACTATTACCAAAAACTGTTAAAAAATCAAAATCTTATGGTAGAATACGCCATGACTCATTTACATCATCTCCATCGCCATCAATTGGTGCAGGCGTAAATAATAAAATACCAGTTATTACTGTTAATAAAAATAAAATGGTGTCATTAGACGATTCAGTTATCACTTTATCATCACCAATATCAAATATTAACAATAATCAACGACATCAACCAGTAGTAGCAAATGAAGATGAATCTGATTATGAAGATGACGAGGAAATAACTTCACCAATTGATGATTCGTCCGCTAACGAAGACACCGAGACTATTTTTATTGAGTTAAATGAAGATGATGAAGAAGATTATGACATAATGGCTGATAATACATCATCATCATCACACCAAAACAATAAAAGAAGTCGCAGAAACAGTTTTGTTGGTGATTTAAAAGTTGTTGAAATTAATAACAATAATGATGTTGGTGGCGATCAACCAAAATCACATCCAGTTCATAGCGATGAAGAAATCGATGAGCTGGAAGATGATCATCAAATTGTAGAACAAGATGAGGAGGAAGAGGAAGAGGAGGAGGAGGATGTTAAAAAATTAGAATTGTATTTACAAACTCCTGTAAAAAGTGAATTTCCATCTGCAATTACCGCTGGAGATTCCCATGACGAAACAACAACAACACCATCAGACAATAGCAGGAAAAGAGAAAGCTTTACTACTAAATTTTATTCTGGTGGACATCGTATGTCAAGAGGATCTAGTTATAATAAAAACAATAGTATGATTGAAGCATTATCAACGTTAATAATGGATAAAGAAAATTCTACGATTGAAGAGGATCAGGATGATAAAAACGACTCTGTAAAAAAAGCATTGGAAGCTTTAGAAAGAAAAACCACCGAGGCTGTTGGTAAAGAATATGTATCTCGAACTCAACCTGAAGTTGAATTGAATGAACAATCTAATAATAATAATAATATTTTGCAGTCCACTACTACTACTACTACTACAAATAATGATAATGATAATGACGATGATGATAAAACTATCAGTATACCGGCAATAATATTACCAGAAGATTCAAATATTAGCAATGAATCAAAAAAGAAAAATCAAAATACCAGTAATAATAACAATACAAGTTACATTTGTAGCAGTAACGGATTTAAATCTCTTGAGAGCAAGGGTGAAGGACTTGGCATAGTTGTAGATGTGAGTAAAGATAGTACGGGTCAGGATCCCGACGCACCTATCTCCAAACATAACACAAATTCAAGTACAATCTCGGAAGTCAATGAAGAAAGTATTGAGGAGGATGTGTTGGCGATGGCTGTTTTATTGGAAAGAATACTTGTTGCTTATAAAAAAGTTTCTTCCCCTTCATCAACAGCATCATCGGCAACATCGTCATCATCATCACCAGTTAAAAATGAAAGCATGGCAAAATTAATTTCTGAAAGTTTAAAAGGAATGATAAATGATATTCATCAAAGTCTCAATGATATCAACGATAATAGTATTGGTAATAATCAAAGATATATTAATAACATTAATATTAATAACAATAATAACAATAATGACGAAGGAGATGCTGAATCAAATCATTCTTATACAACAGCCTTAACTACACACAGTATAGTTGCTAATGGCATAAATGATATATCAAACCCAAATTCACCTTTGCTATTTAATAATAAAATAGGATCACCATTAGTTATATCACCATTATCTTCACCACAATTATCTAAATTAACTCCATTACCATCACCATCATCATTACATCAACAAAATCAACAACATCAACACAATAATAATCGTCATCAGCAACAGCAGCAACAACAAGAAGTATTATTATCAGAAAACTTTACTCAAAATCTTTTAGAAAAATATTCAGATTTATTAATGAAAATGGTTAAAGAAAAAATGGAAGAAAAAACAACCAATAATGATAGTATCCCAAAAACAGGAATTAATGGTAATATCGGTGCCAATGATTCTGCTATTACTACGAATTTCTCATCATCGTCGTCGTCGTCAATTAATACAGTTATTTTAGAATCTAAAGGAAATACAACTGTCAATAATAGTAATAAACATAATAGTAGTAGTAGCAACAATGGTAGTAATAATATTAGTACTATTAAATCAAATAAAGCTAGAAATAATAGTGGTGGAGTGACGAAAAATAAAAATTCTAAATCAAGGTTTGTGTAAATAGTATTGGTAAATAGATATTAAGGACGTTCATTATATATATATTTGATGTTTTTGATAGATGTCATACTATATATGATTGACTGAACATTTTATAGCAATATAGATATATAAATACATTTTGCATATATATATATATAAAAAGCATATACATTAATAATTTTAGCTAATAGTAATATTAAAGATATAAATAAATATTCATCTGGGTTTAAAATAAGTGATTACCATTATAATTGCCAATAATTGTTGTAACTTTGCTCGAGTTAGCGGGTTGAAATTTTAAATACAGAAAAACATGATTTGCAAAACATAGGGAAGGTTGTCCTTTCTTGGGAAAATTCCGCCATTTTCAATTTATTCTAATCTCATCAATTAAGTCATCATACATACACATTGTTCCAAGATTTGATCATTTTAATTCTCATCATGTAAAATAATAATCGTGCTTTCAAATTTCCTGATAATCTTAACCATTACATATTCATTATATTGGCTGATGTTTTAGAAATTTCTGCTGAATTTTATATAGATCAATGATAAAAGAATCGTTAGTGATTGCAGGAAGAGAAGGGAAGCGACGAAACGTATCCAAATGCTGGGATTGGTAGATTCCAAATTACTTCGTTTATTGGATGGAATGTTGATTAGAAATGCAAGTAGATTTGGAGCAATACATCCACTAGTTTAAGAAAAACATACCAAACATCATAAAGAAATAGAATCGATTTTAACCTTACCTTTTGAGTTGGCATTTCCTGTCTCCATAGCTTCGTCTAATATTCAAAAAATTTTTTTAGAATAACCTATAAATAATAAAAGCCAGTTAAAGGATATAATATACCTACCTGCCTTCATTGCTCAATTAAATTCTCCTTGCCCGTTTCGTGTGCTTTGCAAATCACTAAATTTTAATACACATCTTACATGTGACTGTCTCGTCCAACGTTCATACTTTTTCTTTCGGTCAACAACATTTTGTGCTGCTGCCAATTTCACTTGCGTGGAGATTCCCTAAATAAGCCATGTTGATTATCAGGAAATTGAATACAAAACAAACACGATAATATATACCAAACCCAAGTACCATTGTATCTCTCGGAGGTCCTGGAATAAACATCTTGTTCGGATAAACTGCGACGTCTGGTGCGATATAACTTCTGTTTCTGTCTGGATCTGGTGAGGGATGTAGATGGAAAGGATGTGAAATATTGGAAAAACAATAACAAGCCAAAGAACAAGCAAACTGGAAGAATTTCTTACGCAAATGACCCAGAACACTTGCGTTAGTGAATTAGTGAGTGATAACATCACTTTGAAATAATCTTGCAATAGTGCGATTGAAGCTTGTGCACATATCGACTATAAATACGTTTCCGTTATCATACCGAAACTTATACTCAGACGGTTCATGGCTTTCAAGGAATGTATTGTAGTTGTGTACTGATATATTTGAACCGATCTTAAAAGTGTAAACCACAATCCATATGAGTTAGTTAACACCGAGTGGAACTTAAAGTAACCTGCGTGATGTTCACTCGAGTGGAAATAACATAATTACAGTGTGTAACAAAAAAAACCGGAAATCTTTTTGTTTTCAATAATGGTTGAATGAAAATAGATAAAAATATATCGAAAAGAAAGCTGAAAATCAGAAGTTTTTATTAATATAAATTTTATATGAAACTTATTTTAATTGCTTTTAATATCAGGCAATGAAGTCAATTTTATTTCATTTAAAAATTCAATTATAAAAATCAGCAAATTCATTTCTCATTAATTTGCCAAAAGTCATTCCAATTCATTGGAGTTTTTAGCATTCATTACTCTATGTCTTGCTTAACAAACTTACCAAAAAATTTGGCGTTTCAATATATGAACATTGTTGAATAACCATCACATAACTAATAGCACATTTTTAAATCGAAGTCTTCATGAATAAATTTTGAGCTTAAAATAATTGACTTTCAAAAACCCGATTTAAATCAAATTAGCATATCAATCTTTGTGATAGGTTCAAGAATGGTCTCTATATAGAATTTTTTAAATAATACACAGTGAGTCTCGGTTAACGGGCATGTTTGTTTCCAGGAATTTGCTAAACTGAGAGATCCGCAAAAAGCGAAACTTATGATCAAATCACGTGATACAGTTAATATAAAAAAAATATAACGATAATATTAATATATATCACTGTTGACTCATAAATTCATCAATTCGACATTATTTTGCTTCTTGGGCACTTCTATAAGAAATTTCTCTTTTTAACTTCAATACATTTTAATCATTTGAGAAATCAACTTCTAAATTTTTTAAATGCAATTCCCAAACCATTTATAGCTTCTGTACTTGTTACAGTCGGTTCAACACATCATTGTCTTCAACTTCAGGTTGTCCCAACACAATGCTTGTTCCGTCATTTCTTCTTCGAATTCAAGATTTTGATCGACCATAATAAATTTATCCGTTAAACCTAAATTCGCTAAACCAAGGTCCACTAAACTGAAACTCGCTGTGTAATATTTATTCTTTTCACAGACCAGCATTTTGCCTTGTCGATTATTAAAAAAAAAACTAACTTATGTTACATTATTATTGATTTAATTAGACCGTGACAATTATTGCCGATTATTATTAGTATTAGGGCTTCTATTCGTAATACAAATTCTTGTTCAAATTATTCGTTTTATCGAATTAAAATTTATTCAAATAAACTTTCAGTGTAATTCGAATACTCAAATTCATAACGAATAAAGTGAATAATTCGAATAAGAATTTGTATTACGAATAGAAGCCCTAGTGCTAGTGACTATTATGCAATGATCGCATACGGTCACGTGATCGGGTGACTTTTGAAAGTCACGTGATATGACAATTTTTCTTGCATTTTTGATTGGACTAGGTGCCTTACACTATTACTATAGACAGATCGTCAATTAAATTCTTACACAATTTTTTTTTTTAAAAAATAAACATTAAAAAGTTAAAATGTCCTTTTCTAAATTATTAACACAAGACAGAAGAGAACTAGTATATAAAATTTATAAGGAAATGAGTAGTATTGCATATTCTGCTTTTTCAACTGTTTCTGACCTTGAAAATAGAAAAAGTAATTTTTTACAATTAGTCAAAGAAAACAAAGAACTATTAGAAAATGAAAAGAAATATTGCAGAGAAAGATTTATTTATTGGTTTGAATTAAATAAAGCAATTTATAAATGGGGTGAACCAAGAGAATGCAATAATTGTGGGACAACAAGATACTCTGATAAATATTGTGAAAAGTGTATTAGTCTACACTTACAGGACCTTTTCAGCACTTGGACATCTAGGAATGAGATAATTGATGGTTTTATTCAAAAATGTCAACAGCTTTCATCTCTTCCAAATCAAATTATAGAATGGATACCTTATGAGCAATTTTATGATATAGAAAAGTTAACAGAGGGTGGGTTCAGTTCTATTTATACTGCTGGATGGACAAGAGGACATATTGATGATTATGATGAAAACAAAAAGGAGTTTAGTTATTATGGAGCTCAGAATGTAGTATTAAAATCATTAAACAATTCAAGTAATCCAGGAAAACCTTTTTTTGATGAGGTAATTGTTCTTATTTAAATTAATACATTTTTTTATTTTGAATTAAATTGACTTATTTATTAATTTCAGGCATTGAATTATTGTAAAATTAAATCAAATTTAATTGTTCCTTGTTATGGTATAACTAAATTCCCAGAAAATGGAAATTATGCAATAGTGCTTACTTATGCACCAGAGGGAAATTTAAGAGATTATATAAAAAAAAATCATTATAATTTAATATTAAAAGATAAAATTGATATTTTTAGATATTTATGTAATGCATTATATCGTATACATGAAAAAGATTTAATTCATTGTGATTTACATAGTGGTAATATATTATTGCAAGGAGGTGTTTGTTATATCA